GGGACAGGTAGGGGTCAGGTAGGTCAGGTATGGGTCAGGTATATGGGACAGGTAGGGGTCAGGTATGGGTCAGGTAGGGGTCAGGTAAGGTCAGGTATGGGTCAGGCAATGTCAGGTAGGGGTCAGGTAGGGGGTCTAGGTTAGGTCAGGTAGGGAGGTCAGGTAGGGGTCAGGCAAGGTCAGGTAGGGTCAGGTAAGGTCAGGTATGGGTCAGGTAGGTCAGGTACAGGTCCGGTAAGGTGAGGTATGGGTCAGGTAGGGTCAGGCAAGGTCAGGTGGGGGTCAGGTAAGGTCAGGTACAGGTCAGGTAGGGGTCAGGCAAGGTCAGGTAGGGTCAGGAAGGTCAGGAGGGTCAGGTAGGTCAGGTATGGGTCAGGTATGGGTCAGGTATGGGTCAGGTAAAGGTAGGGTCGGTAGGTCAGGCAGGTAGAGGTATGTCAGGTATGGGTCAGGTAGGGGTCAGGTAGTATAAGGGGTCAGGTATGGGTCAGGTATGGGTCAGGTGTGGTGGGTCAGGTATGGTGGGTCAGGTATGGGTCAGGTATGGGTCAGGTCAGGGGTCAGGTGGAGTCAGGTATGGGTCAGGTATGGGTCAGGTAGGGTCAGGTAGGTCAGGTATGGGTCAGTGGTCAGGTATGGGTCAGTTATGGGTTTAAAAAAGTGAAATTTTAGTCATGTGCACAAAGACTTCCCTCCCTCCTCTACTGGCACCTCACCCTCCCCTCTTTCTTCTCCCCTTCACCTCCCTTCCCCTTTCTCACCCCTCTACCCCTTTCTTCTCACCCCTCCCTCTTTCTTCTCCACCCCTTCACCTCCCTTCCTTTCTCACCCCTCTACCCCTTTCTTCTCACCCCCTCCCTCTTCTCCACCTTCCCTCCCTTCCCCTTTCTCACCCTCTACCCCTTTCTCACCCTCCCCTTTCTTCTCACCAACCATGGTTAAAACTGTGTAATATTGTCGTAGTTAGAAAATTAATTCCATTTAATATATCATTGTTAAATAATTGTTAAATATCTCTTGTTTGTTGTTAGAATTAGTAAATAATAAGTACCACCGCCTTGTTTGAGTGGGCGTGACGGTATTGTGTGTGTGTGTGTGTGTGTGTGTGTGTGTGTGGTGTGTGTGTGTGTGTGTGTGTGTGTGTGTGTGTGGTGTGTGTGTGTGTGTGTGTGTGTGTGTGTCAAGTGGTATTAGGAACAACGTACCATCATGATCGCGCCTAACAGTCCGGATATCCTCAAACAGGACACCGGGAAGGCCGTGGAGGGTGAGGAAACTGGCCGGATACTCACTTCCGTACCTGTAGTCCGGCCCTTCCAGGTGCGGGCGGTGAAGAGAGCCGGTAAGATACGGACTTGGGGGAAGGGGGATAAAGGGCACTCATTGGTTAAAGTGGTGTGACGTCATCATGAGGATAAAAGGCACTCATTGGGTAAAGCAGTGTGACGTCATCATGAGAGGATAAGGAGTGGTAATTGGTTAAATCGCTGTGACGTCATCATGAGAGGATACGGGCACTCAAATGTTAAAATGATGTGACGTCATCATGGGAATAAAGGGCACTCATTGGCTAAATTGAAGTGACGTCATCATGATCGGATAAGAGGCATTCATTGGTCTGAGTGAAGTGACGTCATCAGAGGCAGCTAAGGGGGACGGACAGGTAAGTAAATGAGTTAATTCATTCATTAGGTCCGAGTGAAGGTAATTGTTACGACACAGCTACAGGTACAGTACAGTAGACAGGTAGAGCAATACATGACTGACTAGTGAAATACAAAATACAGAAACACATGCGAGGTTGTTGGCTGAATGGGCCCCAGTCATAATGGGCCCCAGTCAGAGAGGGCCCCAGTCATAATGGTCATAAGTCATAATGGGCCCCAGTCAGAAAGGGCCCCAGTCATAATGGGCCCCAGTCAGAGAGGGCCCCAACCAAATATAACCTACTGTAGCTTACCTTTAAGACTGGGGCCTACTTCATCTGTTATCCAGCCATCATAATTATGCTCTTACATTACGTCATCTGCTCCTAGTGCGTTAAGGAGGAAGAAGATGAAGAAGAAGAAGAAGAAGAAGAAGAACATAAGAATGGAGGACACTGCAGCGGGCCTATTGGTCCATACTGGCCAGTCCCATTTACACCCAACCCCTATTGCTCATATATCCATCCAACCTATGTGTGAAGCTGTCCAGCGTATTCGAGTTAATGATGATATTTGGTAACTTGTTCCACTCGTCCACTACTCTATTTTCAAACCAATGTTTACCTATTTCGCTCCTAAATCTACCTTTATCTAATTTAAAACCAGTAAGCTCCTGGTTGGATAGTTTTTTTTGTTTTTTTGTTTTTTTACGGGGATTAGTCCACCCGGGCACAGGTCACTGACCCACATTGGGGCCTGGGGGGCGAAAATGTAATAATAATAATATTAATAATAATAATAATAATAATAAATAATAGTCATAATAATTCATAATAAATAAAATGTATGATAAAACAAACAAAAATAAAATAATAAAATAATGATGATAATAATACAGTAACTGTAATAATAAAAATAATAATAATAATAATAATAATAATAATAACAATATGTGTGGTGGTAGTGTGTGATAGTAGCTGGTGATGGTGGTGGGGTGGTGGGTGGTGGTGGTGGTGGTGTGGTGTTGGTGGTGTGTGGGTGGTGGTGGTGGTGTTTGTGGTTTTGGTGTGTGGTGTGTTCTAATAACAATAATAACAATAACAATAATAATAATAATAATAACAACAATAATCAACCAATTTGAATTACCCAATAACCAGGTGCAACCCATTAGAACGCAATATGCCACACTGATTCCTACAACCTAACAACCTAACTACTTAACTACCTACAGCTATGAAACGAGGACATAGTAACCTCAGGTAATTCCATAATAATGTACTAAAGCGATTTTATTGGTGTCCCGGAAAAGAAATCTAGTCAGAGCTGCAGGTTGGGTGGACGAGGGATTACCTGGTTCTTATTTGTGGGGTATGGATAATTACAGGTGTAGTACAGGTGTATAATGTGTTGTTGACTTTGTTGTTGTGGTTTGATGTAGAAATAGTTGTGATTGAGAGCTGTAAGTTTGTATACGTGAGGAGGGGGAAGAGGAGGAGGGGGAAGAGGAGGAGGTGGTGAGACAGGTGTGTTAGTGTTTAATTAGTGTTGCTATAAGACACAGGTAAGACAGGTGTATTCGTGCTGCTCTAATCTAAAACACAGTTGTTTACAGGTGTGTGTAAGTCATTACCTTAGTTCAGGTAAATTTATTTAAGTCTGAAAAATGAATTCAGTGTCATGTGTAATAATTTCTTTGTTTACGTCTATGTACATCTTTCTTTGTTTTCGTGTGTGTGTGGTGTGTGGTGTGTGTGTGTGTGTGTGTGTGGTGTGTGTGTGTGTGTGTGTGTGGTGTGTGTGTGTGGTGTGTGTGTGTGTGTGTGTGTGTGTGTGTGTGTGTGTGTGTGTGTGTGTGGTGTGTGTGTGTGTGTGTGTGTGCTTTATACCAAGATATTTAAGAAGAAAAAAGTTGGATCAAGGTAGAGATAGGAACGAGAGATTCAAAGCAACTCTCTCTCTCTCTCAACATAAGTCACAAAGGTTTATTTATGATATAAGAGCCTCATGGTCGTCAACGCTGAGAAATAAATAAAACTGAACTATTTACATAATGACTACTACTACTACTACTACTACAACATACACAAACACATATATACTGTATAATGTACTGTATAATATACAGTATATATGTGTGTGTCTGTATAATTTGTACAGGCACATATGTACACGAATGCGCATATACATACATACATACATGAATACATGCATACATACTGTACATACATACATACATATATACATACACTTTGTATCTATGAATAAGAACATAAGAACATAAGAATGGAGGAAACTGCAGCGGGCCTATTGACCCATACTGGGCAGTCCCGTTTATACCCAACCCCTATTGCTCATATATCCACCCAACCTATGTTTGAAGCTATCCAGCGTATTCCAGTTAATGATGATATTTGGTAACTTGTTCCATTCATCCACTACTCTGTTTCCAAACCAATGTTTACCTATTTCACGCCTAAATCTAAATTTTTCTAATTTAAAACCATTGTTATGAGTTCCCTCCTAGTTGGATAGTTTGAGTACCTTTATAATGTCCCCTTTGTTCAGCACTGACTTCCATTTATACACCTCTATCAGGTCGCCCCTCACTCTACGTCTCTCGAGGGAGTGTAAATTAAGAGGCTTTAACCTGCCTCTGTACTATATACCTGCAGATTCGAACCCAAGGACTCGAGCTCAAGGACTCAAATACACAAACATTAAGTCAATACTTTGTATGTATGTATTTTTCACCTCATCATTTTCCGTGGATGTATTTTCTGTAATATTGTAAGATTTTTGCACCTGACCTGACCTAGTCTGACCTCACCTGGTTTGACGTAATATTGCATCATTACTGGAGGTTGTGGTCAGGTGGTGTGGGGGGGGGGGGAGATGGTGGCTCTTAAACTCACAAGAAAATATTATGTGAGGAAAACTTTTATTTGTTGTGAGAGAAGTTTGTGTTGGTAATGACCTGAACTTGTTTATGGCGGGGACGGTTGTTACCGTGTTAATACATAGTGTATACATGTTCTCTTTCTAGCGTATACATATACAGTACTGTACATATTTAATCATTATACAGATTCACTCGTGCAAAATGCATACATACACACACAAGTACACGAACATGTTCTGTATGTATCTAGAAAAATTGGAAAAGCGTACACGTGTGCGTGTGTATGTGTGTGTGGGTAGCCCGGGGCACAGCGGCTGGGCACGGGAGTCGGGGGTCGCTGGGTGGGGCCGGGCGCGGCGGGGGCGGGGCTAGGCTGTGAGTGGGAGGAGTCAGGCTCACACGCACACACTCACACGCACACAGCCGCTCCCTCGCACACAGTCTACTGTTGGACGCTGCCCCTAGCGCACCCACCGTCACGCCGCGCCCCCGCGCCCGCTCACACCACGTTAACACGTGCTGCTACCTGGTGTCTTGCAGGCCCGCGCTCCCCCCTCACACACACCTAGGACTCGTGCTCCCTCCCTCGCGGGAACCCCAGTGACTTGTGGATAAAATAAGTGCGCGATCTAGTGAAGGAGGGCAGGAAGGAGCGGCTACAGCAGCGGCTCTCCACCAAGGATACTCCTGCACCACCAGTCCTCCTGCACCACAGGTAAGCCTTAACACACACACACACACCTGTATCGTCCACACCTGCTAGTAATAAACACCCGCGTCAGCAGTGGCGCAGGACGGTGTAGGTATGTCGCCTAGAGTTAAATAGTGCTCATCTGGTAGGCTGGTCAGGAGACGCTGAGGGAGGCACTAGTGGTGCCAGGCAAAATGGCACTGTAGCGTAATCAGATGAGGACGGAGGTGCCAGTAGAATGGCAGCGGTGTCCGGCGGCCAGCAGCACCGCCCACACCACACAACATGGCCGTCGCTTATCATCCCGCTACCCATTCTGTTGACCTTTTTTGACCTTCCCTAGGTACCTGGGTCACACCTGAACGAATATATGACCTGTAGTGGCTGAGGGAACTGGTGGAGGGTGCATCAAGTGTGTGTGTTGTGGGGGCGGTGCTTCACGGCCGCCCTCACACCAAACTATAATATCCCACAACACGGTCACTCGCTCCACGGCCAACTGTTTTAAATTATCTTAATATTTTTCCCTACCTCGTAATATTAACTCCCGTAGACATTAACCAGTGTTGTGTAGGTGTGAATATTAATGAGGCTGATGGTTAATGAGCGAATGACCATCACAGGTGTAGAGGTGTACCAGCAGGGGAGTTCACTTGGGTCAGTCTTTGTTGATACTGGCGGCGGCGGTGACGGCTGGGGGAGGAGGAGGAGCGCTGGGTGTGAATATTTATACACCGTTAATATATATACACAGGGTACACCCCCGCCCTGTTGAAATTTGTATATATGTTCGTGTTTGTCTGTTACTCGCCCGATCTTGGAATCCTTTGAGAGGGATGGGGGGGTGTTACGGCTGCGGTAGTGAGGGCTTCACGTGATACTAGTAAGGGCTTCACGTTTCACTGTTAAGGGCTTCACGTGGTACTAGTAAGGTCTTCACGCGACACTCGTAAAGGCTTCTCGCGACACCAGTAAGGTCTTCACGCGATACCAGTAAGGGCTTCACGCGACACCAGTAAGGGCTGCACACTGTACTAGTAACGGCTGCACACGGCGCCAACCAAAGTAACTTGAAAGTAAAAAAAAAAACTAAAACCAGTTTGTCTTACAGCACTGGGGGTAAACTACCTCAGCGCTCAACGGTGTACAGTACGTGTGAGTAAGCTTGTTGTCTCTGCATGTATAATATTTATTTCCCTTGAAGCGGACGAATAATAATACCAATAATCATTAACTTCAATTACTTGGGTGTACAAAAGAAGCGGAGGTCACTATAATCCTCACAGATAAGCCAGAAGGCCTTTAAACACAGCCAATCATAACCCTGGAATAATTAATCAAGATATGTCATTGACTGCCTGGGAGCGCTGGCACGAGTGTATAGTATAAACATGGAGTTTTCGTGTAAGGTCACTTTTACTGCCCTCCCAGCCAATGACTGTATCTTAATTAGTTATCCATGGATATGATTGGTTGTTTGTAGGCCCATGTTTAATCGGCGATGGCTATTGGTCTAGGGAACTCTTTTCTGTGATTGCAAGTGTTAATATTTCTGGTATTTTTTATTTTATTTGTTTTGTGTTTAATGGTGGGATGGGGGGAGTCCGAGAACTGAAGGACTCTACGCCGAGAGTCCAAACAAATAGTAAATTAATCTATACAGCGAGTCCAAGATTCCGAGTACTTTTATGGATGAAAGTAATAAAGTCCCTAGCGGTGAGCGAGTCCAAGAAACTAGCGGACTTTAAGGCGAATCCGTATAGCGTCAGGTTTTCCAGCGAGTCTCAAGCGTCGGTGAGTACAAATCAGGACCGGTTTTGTCTAGCGAGTCCGGGATACGTAATTTAATTCTACTTCCGAGAAACGACGAACTCTCCGGTAAGTCCAATTAAACCGAGTACTGTAACCGAGTCCAATAACCGACGAGGTATTATTGCGAGTCCTAGACATGCAGAGCGGACTTTTTACGGACTTCATAACGTTACTAAAAAAAGCACAACTAATGCCTCGATTAAGTCCATAATAGTGCGAACTTTTCATTAAGTCAGGACAGCAGCGAACTTTCCGGCAATTCCAAGTCCGGAGTTTTCATCACTAGGTCCAGGAGCATTAATCTTAACTATCAAGTCCGAGCGCGTCGAATTTTACAAGCAAGTCCAAGAATATAGCGAACATTTAGAAAGAGTCCAAGGGCGTCGAGAATCTCCAGGAAGTCCAGAAAAGGCGGAACTTCGGACTTAACAAAAAATCGTCTCGGCTCAGCTAGGCAAACGTACCGTATATCAACCTTTCAAAATGTCCAATACTACCGGAATCTTCAAGTCCAAAGGCGTGTATCTCAAGCAAGTCCAATATATAATCTACTCGCCACATATTTTACAAACTCGTCGGATTTTTGCGCAAGTCCAGTAATTAGCGAACTTATTACTTTTCGGTTAATTTCAAGAAGCAGCGAACTAGTATTTAGAAAGTCCAATGAACACACAACGTCCTAGGAAGTCCAAGTAACTGTGGACTTCTCAGCGACTCCCATATAACATAGGGCATAGGTAATGGGTCTTATTAAGCGAGTCCAACTATAGAGACGGACTCAACCCTTTAACAAGTAGCTTCAAACTTAGGTTGGCTGGATATATGAGCAATAGGGGCTGGTGTAAATGGGACTGCCCAGTATGGGCCAATAGGCCCTCTGCTGTTTCCTCCATTCTTATGTAAATACAAGAAGCAGTGTACTCTAGAAGTCCAGATTACATCGAATGGGACCATTGGGCGAGTCCAAGTAATGGCGGACTCTAGTAATTCCCGCGAAAGCAAAACAAAAATCAAAGAATCCAATGAACACACGGTATAAGAACGGACCCGACGGAAGCGTTGTTTCCGAGGGTCCGAGTGGTGGAGGAAAGGACCCTAGGGCAGGGCTATGTAGCACAGGACTCTAGGGAAGAGCTATGTAGCACAGGACTTTAGGGAAGGGCTATGTAGCACAGGACTTCAGGGCAGGGCTATGTAGCACAGGACTTCAGGGCAGGGCTATGTAGCACAGGACTTCAGGGCAGGGCTATGTAGCACAGGACTTCCGGGCAGGGCTATGTAGCACAGGACTTCCGGGCAGGGCAGGGGGAGCACAGGCTGGGTAGCACAGGACAGGGCTATGGAGCACAGGGCTTCAGGCAGGGCAAGTGTAGCACAGACCACAGGGCAGGCTTATGTGAGACCTCAGACAGGGCTAAGTGTAGCACAGGACTTCTATGTTGGCAGCAGGCAGCATGACTTCAGGGCACAGCACAGGACTTCAGGGCAGGGGCTATGTAGCTAGGGCTATGTAGCACAGGACTTCCGGGCAGGCTATGTAGCACAGGACTCAGGGCAGGGCTATGCAGCACAGGACTCTCAGGGCAGGGCTATGCAGCACAGACTCTGGGGCAGGGCCATGTAGCACAGGACTTCACGGGGCAGGCAGCACAGGACTTCAGGGCAGGGCTATGTAGCACAGGACTTCAAGGTAGGGCTATGTAGCACAGGACTTCAGGGCAGGGCTATGTAGCACAGGACTTCAGGGCAGGGCTATGTAGCACAGGACTTCAGGGCAGGGCTATGTAGCACAGGACTTCAGGGCAGGGCTATGTAGCACAGGACTTTAGGGCAGGGCTATATAGGACAGGACTTTAGGGCAGGGCTATATAGGACAGGACTTCAGGGAGGGGGCTATGTAAGAAAGGACTTCAATCTTAAGCTGTAGAAACGTTCCACTGTTACCACAACAACTCACACCGGCGTCATTAGCGGAGAACTTGAGGGACCAAGAATAGGGAAGGCCAGACATAGCGCGGCCAAGCTGAAGTATTCTCCTCGGGTGCGGGGGTCGTCGGGTGTACTCTGGAAGGACGGAGTTCAGATGGGCGCCGAGGTAATAATAATGAACTTCAATCCGGTCATTTCATAGTCCAGGAAGTCTTATGATCGTTAAAGTACATGTTAGGTTCTGAAGCTTTTGGCGTGAAATTGAAGATGTTTTTGTTTTTTCTCGCCATTTTGATATTTTTCTGTTCTATTATCAAGACACTCAACCGCCATTATTATTTACATATCTACAGCTGATTGTGTTTCCTCGCGGCGGAGTTATAAACTATTTTCGGTTGTAAATATGAACTTGGGTGTGTTGATATGTGTATAAATATTTGATGGCTCTTCGTTTACCCGGTGACATCAACAATATTTTCGGGGTCCTGATTTGCATGTAATAAAGAGAGATGAATTTTCATTTTCAGAAATAGCGGAACATTCAGGGATCCCGGCGGGTGATGGCTTATTCATGTACAATTATTATCTGTATAAATATTTCAGAGGGGAGTTAATTCTCTGGTCCCGTATATAACGAAAATACTGTTTTTGTTCATTCTGTTATGGCTAAAATTACTGAACCCACTTTAATAGTTAGCGTTTATTGATATATTGTATATAGACGCATGTATGTGTGTAATTAATATACACCTACATACACATAATGTTTTCACTCTGGCCGCCATCACGACTACCACAGTGCGCCGAGAGCCACGTCCGCTGGGACTGTTAGCGACTCACTCACCCCTAAATTACATATCAATTATCCTTTAAGATCTATATAAATGGCCCATATATCAGGCGAGGCGGGTGGCCCACCGGTTATCGCTAATTGAAGACTGGTTGTGATTTTTCGTAATTTATACTTCAATCGGCGGTAAATCACAGCGCCCCGTTCATGGCCCCGCCGCCGCCGTCACCACCACCACCACCGCGCTGTTGTCTGATGGTGGTGTAGCGAGGCTCTCAAGGGCGGCGCTGATCCATGGCACCGACCTGGAGGAAGAGGTTGTTGTGTGTTGTGGGCGTCAGCTAGTGTGTGTGTTGTGGGCGTGAACTAGAGTGTGTGTGTGTTGTGGTTAGGAGCTAGTGTGTGTTGTGGTTAGGAGCTAGTGTGTTGTGGGCTGGTGTGTGCGTGGTTATGAACTAGTGTGTTTGTTGTAGTTGAGCTGGAGTGTGTGTTG